ATTGGTGCAACGTCGCGATCATTCGTCTTGAAAGCTTGCAGCAGCAAGGATAGAGCACAAGTCGTTTTCAAACAGGGTCCCTCGCCTTGGCGCCGTGCACGGTCGTCCCAAAATCGTGCAACATATGTCAAATTGTGGCTACCACCTTAGCGCCGCGCCCATGCGTCTTGGAAACTTGCAACATATACAAACATATATCACATGCCGTGTTCAAAATGAGGCTCTAGCCGTAGCGCCGCGCACACGTGGTAAAGCTTACAAGAAGCACATAAACAACTGAAGGCAGCTCATTCAAAACAAAGGCTCCGCGCACATTCATGCTACATCCTTGCAACAACTACAAGGGTGGGCGATGGTTCTTGATCACCTTGGGGCTCTCGCTTCAGACTTACTAGCTTCCTTACGCGGCTTAACGACCGATAACTTCAACGCGTGTAGCAACTTAACAGATGGAGGGCGAGTCCGTTTCAATTCGGGGCCTTCGAGTAAGAACCATCGAAGTCCACGCGCAGAACTCTAAGAGCATGTGCAACCACTGCATGGACGGTGGGCGGTCCAAATATCACATCGGAAAACGTCCTGGGCACCTCGCTAACAATATGGCCCAACCTTTTCGCCCCCCTGATTACACGCCACTGGGGGCTTGCCGAACAACCGTGTCTGCTAGTTTGATGGCTTTGGCCCGCTGGCTCGAGACAGAGTGGAGGTCTGGGCCAGACGCCGTCGCAACGTCGGCCCATCGGCCCCCTGTAACATGAGACTCGGACCCCCTCCTGACGTCGTCCGATTCGCCTGACACAAGCAGAAGAAACATGGCAATGCGGAAAACCTGAAAAACGGCCGAGGGCCCTCCTCAAACGGGGCCCTCGCCTGAGGCAGGCCCAGGGGCCGCTGGTCCTTCACATGGGGCGCTTGGGCCTTCGTGCGGAGGAGGCTCGGGGCCGGGTGTGCTGCAGCATCGCTGATGCCTCGTGGGCTCGCTCTGGCCATCCTCCTCCTCCTCCTCCTCTTCCTCCTCCTCCTCCTCCTCCTCCTCCTCCCTCCTCCTCCTCCTCCTCCTCCTCCTCCTCCCCCTCCCATCCCCCCCTCCTCCTCCTCCTCCCTCCTCCTCCTCCTCCTCCTCCTCCTCCTCCTCCTCCTCCTCCTCCCCTCCCCATCCCCCTCCCCCTCCTCCTCCTCCTCCTCCTCCTCCTCCTCCTCCTCCGCCTCCTCCTCCTCCTCCTCCTCCTCCTCCTCCTCCTCCTCCTCCTGTCGGTGGGCCCTGGCAGGGCTCGTCACCCCTGTCAGGGAACGAGAGGCTCTCGTCCCGAGAGGCGCCGCCCCAAGTCATTGGCTCTCCCCCCTCCGTCCGCCCCTCTTGTGGATAGTGGACCCCCTCTCCCCCCCGTCCTGCTTCCTCCTCCCCCGCCCTCCCCCTTCTCACTCTCCGCCCCCTCCTTCTTCTTCCTCAGATTTCGGGCCAAGATGCTGCCACCCACCCACTGTTCCTGCTACATCTACTGACTACAACTATCCGCCGTCCTGCGTGCAAAGATTCGTCATGAAGTTAAGGCCGAATTCCAACGCTATGAACTCCGCCGCGAATGCAGAATGAACTCCATGAAAGCGGCGCTCGGCCCTGTAGGACAGTTGTCGCTCCTCCCCGTGCAATTACTGCGGCAGCATTTTGGCCGCCTCGTAGCGCGCCACCGACGCACAACCTGAGACTAGCATGTGCCCTCAACTTCTCTCCCGGCTGCTCCCCCAAGTCGTCTGTCCAGTCGGACCCGGCATCGAGCGCATGATTCGCCGTGTGGTCTGCGGTAGTGCTTTACTCGCGAGGTTCCCGCTCCACAAATGCCCCAGCATGTCGCCGCGGCCGCCAACCTCTGTGTAGAAATTCGTGCATTTGCTTGGCGCTTCGAATGCACATCGGCCGTGCATCTTCCACTTCACAAACAGATCATCAGGAAACCAGCTCTGCCACTTGCTGGCTGTCTGTCTGGACCCACAGAAGCCTCCCTCCGGCACCCCACTGCTGCTCCCGAGGGTTGAATATCAGTGGCGGCACCTCCCGCAGTGTTGTCCCATCCCTGTCCGCGATACCTCCTCCCAGCCAGGGAAGTCGCCATGCTGACGCCAGTAACTCGAGGAATTGCGGGAACTTCGCCATCCAGTCTGAAAGGCTTCGGCATTGCACTCGCCGGTCGCATCTCCATCGGCACGCCCATGCGCATACGAAAGAGCTGTCCCAATCTGGCGGCTGTTTCCCGTAAATCTTCCGCACGGTGCCCGATGTGCGCCCCTTGGCCTCTTGTATTATGGTGTTATTGCCTTGCACGTCTCCCACCACTCCGCGTTCCTTCATTCCCGAAGCGCCTTAGATGGATTCGCGCCGCTCCCCACCTGGACCGAAGACTCCTTCCAAGCCTCGTTGAAGACACAACGAAGAACTCTGATAACTAAGGAAGGCATGACGCGTCTTGAACTCCAGGCTTATATCTACCAGGCGGCGCGCGCATTGTACGATGGATGGTTCTCGTCACTTCGCCGCCTCAGGTTGAACGCCTTGCGTAATACCTGCACATCCCATGTCCGCAAATGGCTTAAGATCTCTGCTGTCAAATGCCACATCTCTGACGCATGCGCTGCCGATGCTGCCAGCGTGCCCCGCCATGCTTTGAGTCGCGATCGCATCGGGAACGCTTCGTTCAAAAAATCACGTGGTGTATGAATTGATGAGTGCCCACTTCAGCTAATTTGCTCCGCGTGCTCTTCTAAGTACTTCCCTGCAGGTCCAACCTCGCCCCCTACAGTTCAAGCTCGTCTTTCTCCAGGCACTCCAATGCGAGATCACCCTCTTGACTCCGCAAACCGGCCACGACGGACTCCGACGCCGAGCCGCAGACCATATGCTACAACGATTATGGTTTCCAAGAGAAGCATGGTCGGTCAGTGGCCTCTACCCCCACGGTACCGTATCTGACTGGCCACTCCATCCACCATGTGCTGCAACTTGTCCATGTCCCTCGCGAACAAGATTATGGTGTCTGCCCACATCGCGCGGATGAGGCCCATGCGTTCCTCGTCGGGCCCGGGATCAAATTCGAAGGCAGACCCAAGCTGACTCCAACCTACAAGAACTGGTTATTTCATTCTCTCTCTCTCTCTCTCTCTCTCTCTCTCTCAGTGGCGGGCAGAGCTTCGTGAAATTACCACTAACATAATGTGAGACATGATGCAAGATGCAATGGCCCTGGACAGCGTAACGACGGCATTGAAGCACCCGGGTGACAAGGACGGGGGGAAAAAAATAATAATAATAATCTGACAGCTTATCGCGGGCAACGATCCACGATCGCAGTTCCTGCACCGCGCCCAAAAGTAAGGACCTCTGTCAAGGAAAAGTGCACGGGTGGGCCCAGCTACTTACCTGCAACCACAAGCGGCTGGAAGACTCCTTCCTGGCTTCCCGGACAATAAGCACCTAGTGCCCATGCACTTGCGGAGCACTCGGATCTGCTTCCCCCGTCGGAAAGCACCACTAGTTATGGGGGTTTCGCAACTATAGCGCCCTTCACCTCTCGCCACGAAGATGTCTGTCCATCGTAACCTTCCACAAATAATCGGCTAACGCATTTTGGCTTTTGTCGAACCAAAAGATTGGATCGCTCCGATTGTGGGGCGGGCTCCATCCAAATTGCACCACGTCGCACAAAGCCTGAATTATACGTTGAAGTAGCTGCCAGAGAACCACGCCGTGCAGCAGCACGGGTACGCAAGCAAGTTCTTGAAACGGTTGGCAATCTACGACGCAAACACACCTGCGACCCACACTTGCCCATGCCACGGCATGAGCGGGGCTGGGAGTTGTTTAGACCGTCTCCTCCACGTTCCCTGGTCGGCCTGGGTCAATCCAGACCCGGGTCAGCAGGACACCAAAAACTGCAATGCAAGAAAAAAAACGCAACGCAGCCCTTCGCAAACCCGGGTCAGCCAATATGCGCGGCCACCTCGCGACCACGAGCGGCTCGACAACCCAGGTCAGCCAGAGGGGGTCTTCGCAGGATCCTGCAGGATCCGGCGCACTGGCTGACCCCCGTTTGCGTTGACCCCCGTCCCAAGGCTCCCGACTGCACTGCGAGCCCGTTTCGCAGGCGCCTGCCCCTCCTCCGCAACCTCCTGGCGATTTGTCGGCCCGTGGGCTGGGAGCGACAACTGCTCGCACATAGTCTTCACGAAATGGGCACCACGCCCCTTCCAAGCGGCAGCCGTCTGTGAACTGCCCCGTTCTGTGCGCCACGCGTGTTTGCAGGCGCGAGTAAGAACGTCGTCCCATTCAACGATGTTCCCCCTGCGGCTGTGCACGAAACCATCTTATAGACGTTGTGAATACTGTTCGCCCTTCGTGGCGTCCCAAACCAATTTGCAACGCACTGTGCGCAGCTCCATGAGGTAGCCCATGCCTGTCGTAGTTGGAGCATTGCGCTCTCTCCACGCACCACCGTGGACCTCTTGGAGCACCCGATGGTGAAGTTGCTTGTTCCCGGTCAATTGAAGCCACCTCGAAACACGTTACGAAGATCGACGATTGTATTGCAGCACTGCCCGAAACTCGCCTGGGGTCTCTGCCCCGCCCTCCTTGCCGCCTCTCTGAGAGGGGAGAACTCCGTGCTCCCGCTCATCCACAAAGTGATGCGACCGTGCATTTGCGACAACTCCAGAATGTGCAACCGAGCGTCACTTAGTTGCTTTCACGCCTCGCCCGAGCAATGCCTCTAAGGTCAGGTCGTGGAGCATGGCGTCGAATGCAGTCCTGATATCTTGGGCTGCGATCAGAGGTGCGTTCCACACCCTTACAGAATGGCAAATTTCGCTGACCAACCCAACCATATCCGATAAAGACGTAATTGGGCGGAATCCGCACGACAAGACCGCATTCCTTGCTGTCCCTCCTCCTTGCTGTCCCTCCTCCTCCTACTCCTCCTCGTCCTCACCCCCCCCCTGCCCCACCGGCGATCCTCGCTGTCCCCGATGGACACTACGCTCACCACGTCCTTCTCGCCGCGGTCGGCGACCCACGTGACCGAGTGGCCGCACAGCTGATGGCCGCACTGGAGGAGGGAACGGATGAGGCAGACACCGTCGTCGTCGTCGTCGCCGTCATCGTCGTCGTCGTAGGCATCGTCATCATCGTGGAAAGGCTCCGAACTGCGCACGCACAGCTCCCCCCACTCTCAAAACCCGATCGTTTTGCAACGATCGCAGTTCGTCGAACACACGGTTGACCTGGTGTTCGCAGGGCGCCATGGGCTGTGAGGCGGTCCCGCGGCAGCTGACGGGAGTCGAGCTCCTTCTGCCACTTGCTGGCGGCCTCCTCGTCTCCCACCTGCCGCAGTGCTCTGACCAGGCCACGCAGCTGTTGAAGGTGCAGGCGACTCCCCGTTTGTGGGCTGCACGGCCGGTGGAGCCAGGAGCCGAAGGCCAAGACGCCGAGGGACAACAACAATACTGCTGAGGGCCAGAGGGCGACGACCACCTGCCAGGCGGCGTGCCCCAGCTCCAGACACCAGACGGCTGCGGCTGGGGGAAGCCCAAAGAACTGTTGCACTGCGTCCAACCCTGCTTGTTCTTTCTGCACCCGCAGGACCCGCAAATCCAAGTAGAGCAGCTGTTGGGTACTCTCCAATGTTCCCCGCGGGCGCCTCAAGCAGAAGCGTTGGTGCCACGGGGCGCCTGCCACGGCCATTATCTCCCCAGCGCGGGAAGGGGTGATGGAAGGGGGAGGAAGAAAAAGACAACGACCACGTGAAGGAAGGTGATGCGAAGAGACGAGCGAGAAAGACCGTACGAGGAGGGGAAGAGGAGAACCGCGAGCCCGGCGGACCGCAGCCATCTGGACTCTTACGCTCAGGCCCCCCGAACCGCCCATGGTGGTGGCGATTCTGGAACAATGCACACCCACCCACACTTGTCCATGTATATATATATATATATATATATATATTAACAACAAAAAAAACGACATGCACATACACGCATGCTGTATAAACGCGCGCACACCTAAACACAGACACGCGACATACTATACGCATGCGCATGTGCACATATATGAGAGAGCGTGATCCACCGCCGCTTTACTGTGGAAAATTGCCAACCTTTTCCTCCGGAACCCGGGGGTCTCCCCCCCCCCCCCTCCGAAAACCCCCCCCCCCCCCCGGAAACCCCTCCCCCCCCCCTCCCTCCGGCAAAACCCCCCCCCTCCCCTAACCCCTCCCCCCCCCCCCACCCTCCCCCTCGAAACCGGGAGGGGTCACTACCGGTTCGAACCCCTCCCCCCCCCCCCCCCCTCCGGATCCGGAAATCGGGGGGGGGTCACTACCGAAAAACCGGAGGGGGGTCACTACCGGTTCGACCCCCCCCCCCCCCACGCACCGCCAGCAAACGACTCCCGGTCCCTACCACCGCTCGCATCACATCCCCCACTGTTGTTCCCAGCACCACTGTCCTCACCACCACTGTCCCCACTGGTTCCACCACCGTCCCTATTGTCCACCATGCCCCCACCACTGTCGCACTGTCCCCACTGTTCCCACAACTGTTCCCACCACGGTTCCACTCTCCCCACTGTCTCCACGGACCCAACCACTGCCTATCCCCATTGTCCCCACTGTCCCACTGACTCCTCCGCTGTCCCACTGAGCTGTCCCACTGTTTCCACCACTGTCCCCACTGTCCCCGCCACTGTCCCCACTGTACCTCTGTCCCATTGTCCCACCGCCGTCCTCGCCACCGCCTTTACCAGTGTCTCCACCACCATTGTACCCTCCACTGTCCCAGTGTTTCCACCTCATTCCCACTGTCCCCACACCACTGTCCCCACCACCACCGTTCCCACCACTGTCCACTGTCCCCCCTGTTCCCACCATTGTCCCCACCACTGTCCCCACCACTACCGTCCCCACCACTGTCCCACTGTCCCCCCGCTGTCCCCACCACTGTCCCGCTGTCCCCTCACCACTGTCCCTACCAACACCGTCCCCACCACTGTCCGCACCCCCACTCGGTTTTCGAGGGGGGGGGGGGGGTTCGAACCGGTAGTGACCCCCTCCCCCTTTTCATGATGAGCTGGGGGGGGTGGGGGGGGGCAGGGGTTCGAACCGGTAGTGACCCCCCCCGGTTTTCCGGAGGGGGGGGGGGGGAGGGGTTCGAACCGGTAGTGACCCCCCCCGGTTTTCCGCCAGCAGGGGTAGAACACGCTCTTTCACATATATGTACGCGCGCGCACGCGCACGCTCACACACAGACGCCCAAGGCACCGATTGTGCCAGCGCGCGACTCGCAAAAACAGAAACGGGGCGTGCGCTTAAAAACGGTTCTTCTGCTCGGGCGAATCGTGGGGTAGGGTTATGTTGTTCCCATCCTACTTAAGGATCACCTCCCATAAATAATTTCGAGCGAGTGTCGAAACAGTGTCGAAAGAGTGTCTCCCAGGGCCCGGCACGTGAAAACCCTGGACTGTTTGGGCACTTTCCTGGGCGTTCGAAATTCTTCCTGGTGATCCAGGCGAAAGTCGGCCGTTGGCACAATTGGGTTTAGTGGAACCTGGTTTAGTGATCTGTACCAGGGACGCCCCCCCCGTCCCATTCCACTAACCGGAATTGCCGTCACCCGAAAAAAACACCAGCTACGGCAGACCTGGTTTAGCAATTCCAATCCATATTTAAGGCTTCGGGGCCCAATCACTAACCGGCTCCCCTTAACCGGGGTCCTGGCTATACCCGATCAAGTAGGTTGGAGCATCATAAGGGTAGGGGCGCCCGACAACTGGCAACAAACACGCGGCGTCGGCACACCGGTGATTCGCGCCGACACCCGGCCGACAGCTGGACGGCGACAGGCGCGACGCGAGCGGCGCCGCTTCAGCGCACGGGGACAGCAGCGTTTCCGCTGCAGCGGGGCGCCGTTGGGCTAGAGTGGCGACACACACAGGGGCTGAAGAGGCGGCGGGGGAGCGGGGCGCCCGAGCTGGCGGGCGGTGCCGGCATGGCTACAAAAGCAAGGAGAGGGAAGAGAGGAGAGGAGTGGCAGGGGCAGGTGGGAAAGGGTTCCTCCTTCCCGTTCTCCCCCCCCTCCCCCTGGCCACTACGATATGCCTTACGACGACGATGACAACGACGACGGTGACGACAACGGTGATGGACGGCGACGGCGACGGCGGACGACGACGGCGCACTGCGGAAGCCCTGGGGTCCATGGGGGGTGGTGCTGCGTAGGCCCGCTGTGGTCCACGTCGACGACGACGACAAAAACGACAACGACCACGACGACGACGATGACGATGACGACGACGACGACGACGACAACGACGACGACGACAACGACGACGACGAAAGACGACGCCGACGACGACGACGACCACAACGACGACGACGACGACGACGACGACCAGAACGACGACGAGAACGACGACGACGACGACGACGACGACGACGACGACGACGACGACGACGGTGCATTCCAGATACCCCATGGGGAGGGCGACGACGACGACGAGGATGACGAGGACGACGAGGACGACGACGACGACGACGACGACGAATGACGAGGACGACGACTACGACGACGGCGCGACAACGGCGGCGACGGCGCACTGCGGATGCCCCTATGGGGGGTGGAGGTGCTGCGTAGGCCCGCTGTAGTCGGTCGATGACGACGACGACGACGACGACGACGACGACGACGACGACGACGACAACGACAACGACAACGACTGTGGCACGTCAGCAACCAGCCTGAGAGGGGGAAAACTTCCCTCTGGATGTATGCGATCCTTATAGCAACTACTTGTAAACGGAAGGCAATATTTTTGAGGCTGCCGCGCAGGGGAGTACACGATCCCCTCGGCGGCGTCCGCGATGACCCCCTGGCGCGCGTGACTAGATTACCCCATTGCGACCCTACCTAGAAGTTGGAGCCCCTAGGAAAGCAGCATTAGTTGCTATGCTGAGCTATGCTATTCTAAAACATGCCATGCTATGCTGCGCTATGCTATGCTATGCTATGTTATGATATGCTATGCTATGCTATGCTATGTTATGCTAAGCTATGCTATGTAATGCTGCGCTGTGCTATGCTAAGCTATGCTATGCTATGCTGCGCTATGGTATGCTGCGCTATGCCATGCTATGCTATGCTGCGCTATGCTATGCTATGCTATGCTATGCTGTGCTATGTTTGGCTATGGCATGCTATGATATGCTAAGCTAAGCTAATCCTCTAGGCAGAGTCTAGGTAGGGAATTACACCCATGCTAATGCTAATATGTGCTGTGCTGTGCTGTGCTGTGCTGTGCTATGCTATGCTATTTTATGCTGCGCTATGCTATGCTATGCTGGGCTATGCTATGATATGCTACGATGCGCTATGCTATGCTACGCTATGCTATGCTATGCTGTGCTCTGCTATGTCAGAGCTCAGCGAAGCTAAGATGAAGGTAAGCTAAGCAAAGATAAACATGAGCTAAGATGAAGCTAAGCTAAGCTAAGATGAAATAAGCTAAGCTAAGACTAAGCTAAGATGAGATAAGCAACGCTAAGCTAAGGGAACGTCACTGAGGGAACCGCGGGGCGGATCCTGGGGGAACCGCCCGGGGCGTGGAACACTGCCCGGCCCTTTAAGCCAACACGGTAAGAACCCTTCTAGGCAGAGCCTAGGTAGGGAAAAATAGTTTCGCGCCTCCCGGTGTCTATTCATCAACCCCGGGAGGGGCCATCATGTGTGAATCACAAGCTGACAGTAGCTGTTGTGCTTGTGATCGCGCAACTAGCACATGGCGCGGGTGCCCGCGAATCTGCCCCCAACGTCTGCACTCGTCACCGCTGTCATACCCTAAAATCCGACGTTGCAACAAAAACATAACGAAACATCACGACCAGAGCCCTAGACCAAATCTTTCTTCCGCGTAATTTTCACTAGCGGACCGATCTGTCCCGCGCGCCCGCGCGCAGTCCCGCCGCGCCCAACAAATGTTGCCAGAAACCGACAGCGGCCGCTGTTGGGCAGGCGGCCCTCTGTCTCAAGTGGGCAACGTCCGCGGCGACAGCGACAGCGAGCCCTCTCCAAACTGAACAAAAACTGTCGTCGGTCTTCGTGCCCGTCCCTTCTGTATCCGTTTCGGTCGTGCGGACCCGCGTGCGGTCCCGCCGCGCCAATCGGGTCGGGCGAAAGGGGGGGATAGCAAAGGGGGGGGTTTGAGAAGCAGCTCACGTAGCTGATTTTCCCAGCGCCTCCCGGCGCCGGGAGGCGCCCATGTATCGAGGAATGGGCCCCGCGGCGGGGCCGAAGCCAGCTGCATGCAGCAAATTTCGTATCCCCCCCTTTCCCAATCCCCCCCTTTCGTCCAGCCCGAGCCAAGGCTCCTCCAGCTTCGCGGCCGAGGACGCCCGGCGGGTCTTCTTGGGGCTCCGCGGCATCCCGAAGAGGCGGCCGCCTCGGCGGGCAGCGAGAGGGGCGGGGGCACCGGGCTCGCGCGGCCTCAGCCTCCCGAGCCTGCGCCTGCACCCCGTGCAACGGGGCAGCACCAGGCCGGCGGACAACACACAGCACCACGTCGCGCGCCACGTGGCAAGACCGCAAAGCGCAAAACAACACTTCCATCGCGTTCGGCGTGGCAGCGCCGCGGAGGCGAACGCCAAAATCTACTCTGCATGTGGCTCCTAAGCGGACGAAGGCGACGACGACGACGACGACGACGGCGACGACGAGAGCGATGACGACGACGACGACGACGACGACGCGAGCGATGACGACGACAACGACGACGACGATGGCGACAACGACGGCCGAGACGACGACGACGCACGACGATGAAAACGACGACGGCGACGACCACATCGACGACGACAATGACGACGACGACGCCGCCGCCGCCGCCGCCCGACGGCGCCGCCCGCCCGCCCGCCCGCCCGCCCGCCCGCTTGCGCGCACGCCCGCCCGCCCGCCCGCGCGCGTGCCCACCGCCCGCCCACCCGTCCGCCCGCGCGCCCGCCCGCTCGCCCGCGCGCGAGCGCCCGCTCGCGCGCGCCAGGCGGCGGCGCCAAGGGAGCGAACAGAACACAGGCAAAACGTATATGAAGGACGCGTGGTAAGAACGCAAGACCCTGGGAGGCTGAAGTTGGGATTTTTTGGGCGGCGGCGACCAATGAAAACGGCAAAGGACGGGCCACAGAGGCAAGGACGCAAGGGTATCCTAGATGAAGGCGCGCGTCCTTACTAGGCGCGTTGACTGTACAGTCGGGCTGCTGAACGAAGGAACGCTAAACAAGGAACGAGGCCCCTTCTTGGCCCTGCAAAGCGCCTCCGTGCCCCAGGAGGGCAGGAGGAATCAGCACTGGATGAACCTAGGGAACCTCGGGCCCCTTCCGAACCCAAACTGTTCCTTATTTCGGCGTCTTGACTGCACTGCTCCACTCTCCTTGCCACCTGGCATGGCTCGGAGGGGGTAAACACATACCACTCCACTGTGCTCGCCGCGTTGGAGCGCCTGCGGGGCAAGACAAACGTACCCCACTCGACTCGGCACGTGGCAGCGAAGCGGGGCGGCAACACATGCGACTCCACTTGACCCGCCACCTGGCAACGCCACGTGGCAAGGCCTCGAGGCAAACAAAAATACTACCCCACTGCACCATCCACGTGGCAACGACATGGGAAGCGAACAAGAAGTATACCTCCATTCACCTCATCACGTGGCAATGCTCCGCGGACAGAGCATCTACAATCTCACTCTACTCGCCACGTGGCAACGCCTTGGAGGCGCACAGGAATCCGTTATAGTGCCTGCGCGGAGTGGACGTGTTAGAGTGCACCTGTGGTTCCTCAGGGAGTGTGTTTTTTAATGGTTTCTGGGGTCGACCCATCCCCGTTCGCACGCGTTCGCGTAGACCGCCCCCCTTGAAATCGCTCCACTGCGCTCGTTTCGACCTCCAGACGGCTAAGATGGCCTCCAAGACGGCTTCCAAGACAACCAGGATGATACAGAAATGGCCCAAGATCCCAAGACGGCCCAAGAGGCTCTCAAGACGGCACCCAGACGGCCCAAGAGGTACCAAGTAATGCCCAATATGGATCCAAGAGGCACTCCAGCAGAGCCCGAGGGGGTCAAAACCACAGATTGTCTTCAGGCTTTGTTCCCCACATCCAAAATGGGGTTCTTGTTTTCTCTGGACACCCCGCGCAGGAACAGGAACACACACACACACCCACTCACACTCACTCACACTCTCTCATCATCAACCTCATCAGCATCATCGATGATGCTCTCTCACATGCTTAGTCACTCACAGACTCATCATCATCATCACTCGCACTCTCTCACACGCTCACGAACATCATCATCATCATCATCGGCACCGGCATCATCCTCATTCAAACATCATCATCGCCACCACCACTCACAATCAATCATCATCCTCTTCACCACTCATCTTCACCACCACTCATCATCCTCATCCTCATCATCGTTGAGTAAATTGTGAGGAAGTCTCAGGCGGGAGCCCCCTCCCTATGGGGCCCGCAGATCATGTTGGTAATCCGAGCGGGTCATCGGAACCCTGTAACTGTCGTCACTTTTGGGCTCCCCAGGCCTGAAAATGGAGGAAGTCTCAGGCGGGAGCCTCGTCTCTGAGTGAATTGGGAGGAAGTCTCAGGCGGGAACTCCCTCCCTATGGGGCCCGCAAATCATGTTGGTAATCCGAGCGGGTCATCGGAACCCTGTAACTGTCGTCACTTTTGGGCTCCTCAAGCCTGAATTTGGAGGAAGTCTCTCGCGGGAGCCTCGTCTGTGAGTGAATTCTGAGGAAGGCTCAGGCGGGAGCCCCCTCCTTGGGGCCCGCAGATCACGTTGGTAATCCGAGCGGGCCATCGGAACCCTGTAACTGTCGTCACTTTTGGGCTCGTCAAGCCTGAATTTGGAGGAAGTCTCTCGCGGGAGCCTCGTCTCTGAATGAATTGTGAGGAAGTCTCAGACGGGAGCCCCCTCCCTATGGGGCCCGCAGATCACTTTGGTAATCCGAGCGGGTCATCGGAACCATGTAACTGTCGTCACTTTTGGGCTCCTCAAGCCTGAATATGGAGGAAGTCTCAGGCGGCAGCCTCGTCTGTGAGTGAACTGCGAAGAAGTCTCAGGCGGGAGCCCCCTCCCTATGGGGCCCGCAGATCATGTTGGTAATCCGAGCGGGTCATCCAAAACCTGTAACTGTCGTCAATTTCGGGTTCTCGCGCGGCCAGAACGCAGCTCCCAGGCCACATGTTGGATGCAACAAGAGAGTATTTGGGCTCCTCAGGTCGCCGAGGTGCTGCGACAGGGCGCCGAAGGCGCCGACGACGACGGCCAGGCCGAGGCGCGGGCGCGGAGCTTGCTGATGTTCAGGCCCAGCGAAAGGGAGTTCACATGGCAGAGCTCGGGGGCGCACAGCGTGCGCCGCTCGGGGTTCACCCTGACGCACGCGTCCTACCTGACCTCCACGCTGTCGCAGGGCCAGACGCTGCGCAAGGGCGTCACCATCGACTGCGCGAGAGACGAGGACGCTGGCCGCACGGGCATGTCGGACGAGCAGTGGTGGCTGCACCTCTACGTCATGTTCTCCCGCGCCACGTGCATGCGGAACATGCTGATCCTGCGGCCGCCGCCGCGAGAGTTCCTGGAGTGCGGGCCGCCGGCGTCCCTGCGGAAGGCGCTCCTGGAGTTCGACAAGAGAGCGGTTTTGTCCAGGGCGGAGGCGAAGCAGCTCGCGGCAGAGCTGGGCTTCGTGCTGCCTTCCGCCTGAGCGCGGCTGCGCCTCGCTCGAAGCCCGCGGGGTTGTCCCAACGGCTTGGTCTTGCGCGCCAACGGCTCGCGGGGTTGTCCCGACAGCCTGGCCCGCGGGGTTGTCCCAACGGCTGCGCGACGTGACCAGTAGAGAACGCGCCTGTGCTGGCCGTGGCGGCGACGGCGCCGAGGAACATCGACATGCGCGCTCATGCAACAGGAAGGGGAGGAGGTGGCGGGGCGCGGAACAAACAGGGGGGCGAGGATGGGGACAACGTAAGGAGTGGAAGGGGGGCCCGCGCCAAGGCGAGAGGAAATATACGCAGAAGAGACAGCCAGGACGCCTCACCAACCACGAGGACGACGGTGATGGCTTTTTCCAGATTCGCCCAGAGGATTCTTATGTGGGGTTCTTCCGTCGGAGTAATTTAGAGGAGTTTGAAATTACGCTTTGGGGCTCCGATCGCCCAAGACTGCCCAAGAGGTCTCCAGGATGGCTACAAGACTGCCCAATAAGCTCCCTCAGAGGGCCCCAAATCGGCCCCCGAGGACCCCCAAATCGCACAAGAGGCTGCCAAGAAGGCCCCAATGCGGCACTGAAGCGCTCCAAGAGTGCACCAAAACTAACCGGAGAAGCCCCAAAAACTGACTCCGGAGGAATCAGACGGGCCAAGAGCTTCCCTAAGGCGGCCCAAGAAGCCCCCAAGAGGCACCTGGGGGTCCCCAAGAGGCCTCCAAGAAAACCAGATGAACACACATGCCACTCATGTTCCGCAAGTTTTTGGTGGAGTTTGAGATTATCGCCTGGTGGGGTTCGTGTTCGGGTTGCCGACCGCCCAAGAAGGCCCAAAGGCCTAGACACTTTCAAAATAGCAAACGCGGCCTACAAAAGGGCCTACGGTCGGCCCAAGAGGACCCCGAGATCGCCCAGGGGGCTTCCAAGGGGGCCCCAAGACGGCCCGAACGCGCTTCTAACAAGCACCATCACGGCACAAGGAGCACCGAAAACAGCCTCCGAAGGCGTCAGACGGGCCAAGAGCCCCTCAAGGCGGCCCAGAAGGCCCCAGGAGGCCCCAAGAGGCCCCGGGAATCCCCCGAGAGGCTCCAAAGAAGACCTGGGGAGGCCCCGAGAAAACCCCAAGAGAGAGGCCTCATCCTCAACGTTTTATACCATCGCTTCTCCTCCTCCTCCTCCTCCTCCTCCTCCTACTGCTCCTCCTCCTGCTAATCATCATCATTAGCATCATCATCGTCATCATCATCATCATCATCATCATCATCATCATCATCATCATCATCATCATCATCATCATCATCATCATCATAAGCATCAGCATCAGCATCAGCATCAGCATCAGCATCAGCATCAGCATCAGCATCAGCATCATCATCATCATCAGCATCATCATCATCATCATCATCATCATATCATCATCATCATCATCATCATCATCATCATCATCATCATCATCATCATCATCATCATCATCATCATCATCATCATCATCATCAGCATCAGCATCAGCATCAGCATCAGCATCAGCATCAGCATCAGCATCAGCATCAGCATCAGCATCAGCATCATCAAAGTCCCACCAGCCCTTTGGGCGTGAGTGGTCTAGAGAGCTCTCTCTGTCCTCAACCCCCCAACCCCCCTTCTTCCCCTTCGGGGAGGGGTTTAC